ACCTAAGTTCAGTGACCATTAGAACAATTAACTCATTTTTAGGAATCTTACCGCCCACCACAAGATAAAAATAAAAATACAATCGATCTAATTATTGAAAATTGAAATTAAAGTAGCAAAAGAAAAGGTGAAGAAAAAGTCTCGAAGTAAAACTACATTACCAGTGCGATAGAAACATTAGGTGATAGATTGAAATATAATTGCAAGCATAAAATCATTTGGTGGGCATCGCACTCGTCAATAGCGAGATTTAACAACAATTTTTTTTTAGTCAGAATTAAACCTCTCTAATGCACATCCCCATAATTCGTGCACTAATATGTAGCATCTTGAAATTCATATTTTAGCGTCAATAATCAAATAAATTGTTTCATTTGTAGTTATATAAAGAGGATTGGGGGAACATAATATAATTGGATAGTTTTCATTTATTTATTTTTAATTATAATTTCCTTCTAAGGGTTCAAACTTCAATCAAGAAAGAGAATTAGAGTAAGGTGGTAAGTATATTTCTATATACAAACTCATGTGGCTTTAATATCGTTAAGTTTTATTGTGACTTTCGGGAATGTTTGGTATGTGCTATGTAACATTTAAAGATAAATATTAAAAAAAAAAAAAAAAAAAGAAGAGAGAAAGAGAGACGTACAATCTAAATTGATTGGTTATTGTTCAAATTCACCATAAGCAATACACGAATGTAATATTTCGATAATGTTTTGTCGTTTAAAATTCGACTTTAGATATTTTATTTCTTTACGTAAAGTGCATTTTGCCTTGCTTAGGAGATATGATATTATATGAATTGTAGCATGCCATATTTGAATGAATATTGATTACTTTTTCTACTATAATGTGCAAATTATTATTAAAGTAATAAGAGATTAATTTATTAACAATTTGTACTAACCAACCACGTGTGAAGTCTTGTGAAAAATGAAAAGACAAAAGTAGGTGCAAAATTAAATGTGAGTATTGTCACCCCCACACTACGACTTCTATTTTCTTAATTAATAGTTTTCACAAGCTTAAATTAGAAAATAATATTAATATCTAATACTTTGTCCACATTATAACATGCATAGCCCTGAGGACATGGGAAAGCATATTCATAGGAATGGATGTTAAAATTAGGAGCCGAAACTTAGGAGTTAAAGAATTGATGATTTTATATTGATTTTTATGAAGACATAGCAATTAAAGGTCGGACCCACTACGGGCTCGATACAATAAAAAATGACAAAAAAAACTCCTACTCCACCATGTGTGAGAGTTCTATAAGAGGTCTGTGAATTGGGGGTTCTGTACCCCCAACTCGATTCTGAAAAATTAGATACATTAAAATAAAGAATGTACTACATCATGGCCATTGGATTGACCATCATACCTGCATTGGTTGGCGTTTATATTGATGGTAGATATTGGTGATTTAGTTGTAGTATCGTCTAGAGTTGAGATTTGTTGTCTAAATGACTATTCATCCAATGAAATATTGACATATCATCAATAATTAATTTATCATCTCCCCCTCATTAATTTTATCACTAACCAATCAAATTGATAAAATGTTAATAATTCATTAAATGGACAGTCATTTGAACAGTAAAATTAGACAGCAGATCTCATCTCTATTGTCTATTGCTTTCATCAATCTTTTTTAATATTTATCACTCTTATCATTTTTCTTCAAATTTATCAATATAATATTGATTTATAACATGGATGCATTTTATATGATCTTTAAACGCGGTTAATAATAAATCAAATATTCATTGAGAAGTTTCTTTGAGCCTGTTTGGGCCCGATTTTTTCATCCAAAAAATTGATTTTTTGACCGTTATTTCACTATTCCAACCGTCATATTTGACTTCTTCTCTCACAGGTGGACCCCACTTTTTTCCTAACAGTCAAAAAATCAATTCTCAAAATTACTCCCAAACAAGCTCTTTATTTAAACGTGGTTAATAATTAATCAAATATTCATTTATCAAGATTTTACTGTATTATTACACGTAAGGCCAATAAATTCTTTGAAAGAATATTTGTGAATATTATTTCTTTC